TCTTCAGACTCAAACCCAAGTATTCTTTCACCAAGTCTCTCTAAGCTCAAATCCAAGTATTCTTTTACAAGCCTCTCCAGGCTTAACCACTAAATATTCTTTTTCACAAGCTTCTCTAGACTCAACAATTATAAGTAAATTTGATAAGAGTTACAAAAACAGCTTTGTTTCTTCTAGACGTGATGCTATACAAATTTGGAAAAAGTAGTCTACAAAGAATTTTATACAAAATTTGCTATGAAGATCTTCTTTGTAGAGCTTTAGTTTTGTGTTTCTCACTATGTGAGTTTTGCTCTATGTGAGATGTTTTTTTTTTATTTTTAGCACTTTTCTTTTATTTTTCTTCACACTTCCTCTTGCTTCACAGTTCACTTCATGTTCATCTTTCTTGTTCACACCACTCTCTTTTTCTATCAGGATCAATGTATTTGATTGAGGGTTTTTACCTTTATATAGTAGCTTTTGGGAAGATGAATGTTGTAGCAATGTTCAAAATTTAAACGTTAAAATTTCCTTGAGTTTCTTTGTCTGTCTTCTTAGCTATTTTTTAGAGGATACTATAGGTGCATTTAATGTAAGCATTAAATGTTGATTAGAGATGCATGTATCCCCTATTTGATCTTGACAATTACTTATCACCTCTTTCTTATATTTTGAGTGTGGTAGAGTGGTGTCAGTTCAGAGCAGTCCTTTTTAGTGTCTTGTCCGAGATATCCAAGATTTTCTCTTTCTATCTTGACACAATGATTTGACATTCTATTTTTGACAACTTTTGTTATCTACAAAGAAGTTTTCCCGTTTGATTTGCTAAGGAATAAAGTATTAATTGCTTATTCAAAGAATAGTTTGACAATTTAACAAGAAATAAGTATGGCATTGATTTCAAATCATATGCTTCGTCTTACATACAAAATATGTCACTGCTTCATTTGAAATGCTTTCTTTTGAAAAAAATTTGGCTTCTTGTTTGTTATTTATAGAAAGACGCTTTATGAAACTTTAATTTGTTTAGAAAAATATTTGTTATCATAAAAACTTATAACACATCAAGAGATTCTAGATGATATTCTAGGCTTCCTTTTGATCTTACAACGGTCCACTCACTCAATTTTTTTCTATTCAATAATTTATGTATTATATCAACTTTCAATGATCCAACTGTTAAATTAAAAGTTCTTAACGTTTAAATCAAGTTTACAAATTTTTGAAAAATAAAAAATTATTTGATATTTTGTTTCATTAATTTAAATTGATGGATAATCATATAAATATTTTATATGTTGATTTGAATTTGTATAATGAAGTATCATATAGTTTTCAATTTTTTGAAAAAATTTATAAACTTGATTTATACATTAAATTTTTTTAATTTAACTGTTGGATCATTAAAATTTGATATAAAATATAAATTATTAAGTATAAAAAGTTTATCAAAACTTACTTTTGGAGTAATCTTTCTTTCTTTCTTTTATTTTTTTCTTTCTTTCTCTCTCTTTCTATAATCTGTTTAAAAAATTGTTCTATAGTGACATATTACTTGCCCAAATACATCTAATAAATAAGTGAGTGTATATTTACAAATATTTATAGAACTCGCTAACATATTATTATTATTATTATTATTTTATAAAGAAAGAGTACAATAGTAAGCCATACATTTATGAGGACTTGAAACACCCTACTCATCTAAGACAACAAAAATAAAATTAGTCCTATTCAATCATATTTGATTGAAATCAAGAAAGATATTAGTTAGGTGAAATCGAGAGATTCTCTAGTATCATCAAAGGAGAAACATGGCAATTCCACTTTTAATAACCCAAGTATTTCGCTCTATTATTAGATTACGTGATTTTTAATTTTTTTATTTGTTTACATTGAGAAAGCATTTCATGTTTTCAAATTAATCCACGTGCTATTAAAAATTAGCCACTTGACATATGAAAAATATGCTCTAACATCTAATAGAAAAAATCACACGCAAGTCACAGAAAATAAAAATCTTTGTATTAGTGACCATATAATGTGTCCCATGGACAGACGCGAATGCGACATCTTCTTATCACCATGCTATTAAAAATATATATTGTTTGAAGGTTTGTTATGTCGTATCATTATTTTTTACTAAATTATTTTTCTTTACTATTAAAATCTTGACTTTTTAAAATCATTAGATTATCAACGGGTATTATCTGGTTAACATGTTTGAATCTCTTAACTTATTTAAAATTTGATCCTAATATTTATATTAAAAAATATATATTTATTTTGCATACATTTATAGTCTGCGGTAGAAATTAGACAGCTATAGATATTTCGTATTAATATGATTATTAAAATAGAGAATGAATAAGTTTACTTAAACTTATTCCGTTCAATAACTCATTTTTTTATATCAAATTTTAACGATCCAACCGTTGAATTTAAAGTTCTTAATACATAGATCAAATTTACAAATTTTTAAAAAAATTGTAAACCATTTGATACTTCATTTCATTAATTCAAATTGACGGATAATTATAAAATCATTTTATACATTTATTTGAATTAATGAAATGCAATATCATATGGTTTTCAATTTTTTTAAAAATTTACAGATTTGGTCTATGCATTAAAAACTTTAAATTCAACAGTTAGATCGTTAAAATTTGATGTAAAATATGAGTTATTGAACGAAATAAGTCTAGATAGACTTACTCATGAAGTAAACGGATCCGTCTTCATTAAAAAAATCTATTTTACACTTAAGTAGTTTATTAAACAAGTTTAATGGAAGAATTTTTTTATCATTTATTATTAGTAAATTATTAATACAAATACAGAGTACAGCATATTTATCTACATTAAGGACTATTCTTATATGTGGTAGTTGGATCTGTGTTCAAGTTCAACATGTAAGCAGTGTTTTGATGTTATTCCAGCATCTTTTTTAACTACTATTAGGTCATTCTCTACTTTTGCGCATTATGAAAGAAAAAAAAAATGGAAATGAGACATGGTTTGATTTCAATGCGAGGATTGTGATTCGTGGAGAACATTGTTCATTCTTCAATTTAGGTTTTAATGAATAAGTGCATGTAGTACAAATTGAGATTTTCTCGTTTTAAATTTAAAGTAGAAAAATAAGAATTAACAAATTTTTATTTTTATGTTCATCGGTCATTTGAAGACTTTCACCAATAATTCAAACACACTCTTAAGTACTTATATGATATGTATAAGTTATTTTTATACACATATTTAGATAAATATTTTTATATATGCTTATAAGCAAAAACAAAAAACAAAAAATGAAAAATCTTTTTATAATTTTATATACATAAGTTAAAATATTTTTTTCTTTCAAAAAGTCAATATAAAACAAATTTTACAAATTAATGTATGCATAATATGAGAAGAATATCTACTTTATATACACTTACAATTTCTGATGTAGATTAATCATTGTTTTTAGCCGTGGATACTTTATATCAACATAATAAATACGAAAAAGGTGAATAAATTAATGTAATTTATAAAAAATATTTTATTTTATTTTTTATTTTATATGTTTATGAAAAAAATTATTCAAACAAACCTTAAAGTTGTTTTTATATTTAAATAAGAAATTTGATTAAGTTGTTTTCATAAAAAAAAATAAAGTGTTTTCATAAGTTATTATAGAAACATTTAGGGTATTTTTATTGAAATAAAAGAAAATTTCTGAACTTATATAGACATATGGTGAGCTATTTTTACAAGTTTTTCCAAATACTTGCACAAACATTTTTGCCATTATATAAGATTGAGGTAGGAATTGAACGAAAGAAATGGAAGAAGAAAAAAAAGCAAAAATAAAAATAAAAATAAAAATAAAAATACACGTATAGTATGATATAAAAGATATAGATAAACAGAAAAATGAAGTAAGAATAAGTTGTAAAGTTATAATGGCGTGGAGTATACGTTTATCATTCCTCCACAAACATTTGGGTATGATATTGATACCTCTCAATCAACACCAAACAATGTGTTAAATAAGAGTTGCATCTCTCATTCTTAATGGATCATCCTAATTTCTCTTATTTCTACCAATGGGCCAACAACATATATAGTCCAAAAGGCCCATGCCTGAAACTCTATTTTCTTTTAAAAATGAAAGATTAATTTTTTTTGGATTCTCTCATTGCATGATATGGTCATGTTAGATGGAGAAAATTACATTTCTTTTTTATTAAATAAGGACCATAATTATTGATTGTAGGACCCACTAATTATATTTGATAACGATAAGTATCATGTTTTCTCTCTTTAACATGATTATATAATGTTACTTAACAATATGAGCAATTCAAACACAATTCAAGAATGAAGGGATAATTCTCTAGTTTTAGAAAAAGGACAAATTATATTGTGTTTTTTTTTTCTCTCTGTAATTTCATACGATATCCAAATAGCATAATGTTTGACATCCAAAAACAACATTAGACTGTGTACTCATCTAAAAGGGTTACTGTAGGAGTTAAAACAAGGATATCATGTAAAATTCCAAGGAACTACATGGAATGTCACTATAATTTGTCTTAAAAAAAAAAAAAAACTTTCAAATTTAGAATTCTAGCATTCCCTTAAAAGTAGCTTAACTCAACCAATAATCCTTTAGAATTAGGTTTGAAACTCCACCAAACTCTTATGGTTCATGAGATCATCAAGGGCGTAAGGCATGTTTATGTATGACTAATTTTGAAAAGATGAGTTAAATTCTTCTATAGAGAAAATAAGCAAAACCCTTAATTTAGCCTAATTTTTATTTTGTTATTACAAACACTTAATCTATGTAATTGTGTGAGATTAATAAACCTTTTGATGAGAACATGCAATTTAAGCCATGGTGGTCCTTTGATCAACGGAAAATATAATACCATGTATTCTAGCACTTAAATATTCTTTTGTAGTTTTGTTTTCAACTTAATTTTTGGTTTACTTTCAAGACAGTGTTTGGAGGATAATGCCAGAATAGCTGTTTGAACATGCGATCTTATTGAAAATAACATTATAGCAAAATCTGTAGCCCAAGTATTCTCCAACATGAAACTCTAGCTCTTACTCAAATATATATCAACGGTAAAAATCATGTGAGATTCGTAAGAATTTAAAGTGAGATTTCTTAAGTATACACTTAATACACAAATTTACCAAGGCAATTCTCATCCTTCTCTATTGGTTCAGCCTATGTAGTAGTATCTTGAAGCATCTTTTTTCTTTGTATTTTGATATATATACACGTGCAATTGTTTCTGATACCCATTTTAATCACCTCTCAGTTGTAATTTTATCACTGGAACTAGCATCAGGGGAAGCGTAACAGAAGAATTGTTCCTACGATCAGCAATGCTACTGAGCATATTAATGCCTGCAAGATCACCAGAGCATTCAGAAAATGAAGAAAGAAAGTAAACTACATGAATACATAGCATCTACTACTAGAATAATACCAGCAAGTAACATACTCTCTAACACCAAAAATATTATATGATCCTAATTAATCTTCATGTGGCACATAATTGAGTTTTATTATCTCTTTCTTATAAATGGATTTTTTTTTTTAAACAAAGTGAGGAATGTTAGTGACAATTTAATACTCTTTTCATGATATTTTTCTTTATTATTAACCAAAATTTATTAAAAATTATAAATTTTGTGAATCTTACATTTTATTTAAACATCATTATATTTGGTTATAGATTCTACCAAAACTTGTGATTTTCAACAAATAATAAAAGAGTATTAATAAAAAAATATTAAAATAAGTATAGCTAACATTTCTCAAAATTTGATATAAAGGACACATGGCGTTACAAATTTACAATAATCTAGGATTATATAATAATTTTTCTTCTTGTACACTCTTTTAAAATACTCTTTATTACTGGATAGGCCTAAAAAGACCTAAATATACCTTAATAGTGTGTTTGGACGAGGAATTTATATAGGGTAATTCATTTATTTGAAGAATTTCAAATTCCTTAAGGTGAAATGCTTTGTTTGGATGAGGAATTTACAAAGAATTTGAAATCCAAGCATTTGTAAAATTCCTTAAAATAGAGTAATTCATTTATTTGAAGAATTTCAATTTCTTTGAGGTAAAATACCTTGTTTGGATGAGGAATTTATAAAGAATTTGAAATTCAAGTATTTGTGAAATTCCTTGAAATAGTAGAATTTCAAATTCTCCCAAAAGAGTAAGAATTTGAAATTCCTCATACTTTTATCTTCTTATTTCACTTATATATTTTATCTTATCTCTTATCTCTTCATGTTTTTAATTATTGAATATTCAAAAATATATTTAAAATTATTAAATATTATCTACTATTAATTTTTAAAATTATTAAATATTTAAAAATTAGTTAATATTTATTTTTTTAAAATTTAATTTAAAAATCTCAACATATAAATTATTTTTAAAATCAATTTTATCATGGTAGAATCAAATTATCATATCCAACCTAACAATTTAAAATTTGAGAAATTTGAATTGACTTATCTAAACAAAATATTTTAACAATGATAGAAATTGAAATCAAAGTAATTCAAATACCAAGAATTTAAAATTCCTTAAATTTGTAAAATTCCTCGTCCAAACACACCATAAACAATTGAAAGATTAAGATATTCAAGTATTAAGATTTTTACTTAAATATTATTTTATTTTAATTCCCTCAAGTCCGACGATAAAATTTGTAGGGTCATTATTCAATAGTTGGCACCGGTTAGGTAATATAAGTGTTTCCTCTGTTTCCTATGAACATCAATAAAAAAAATTCAAAGAATGCTTATTTTTTTTTTTTTCTTAACTCTTTGATTGTAGAATTCTTAGAATAGCTTTGTGTTTTCATCATATCATACTCTTTTGAATATATTTTTTATTATTAATCAAAACTTATTAAATTTTATTAGTTTTATACCTTATTTAAAGAGTCTCAGTCAAAATTTTGTAGTTATGTTTTATAAAATTGTAACCACTTCTTATTTAATGTGTTAAAGAAGAGTGTGTTGCTATGCTAAGAATTATTGAGCATAGCAAATGCAAGCAAGAGCAGCCAGATAATTAAACTAGAGATGGAAAAGAGATGTTACAGCAATTGCAGAGGCTCCTAATCCTGCTCGTTCCCTAGGATCCTTCTTATAATAATTTCCAAAGTAGAGCATTGTTGCATAGTACCACAGAGGTGGACATAGAAATCCAAGAAGAAATCTGTAATTAAACACACAAAACCATAAATAGAAGAAGAAATTGGGGAGAAGAGAATATGAATTACTTACGAGAACCATCCAATTCCACAGCCATAACATGGAAGAGGTTTGTCATAAAGTCCCGTTTGGAAGTCCTCTGGATCTCTGATTAGTGTATAGTTGCCCTTTTCATGTTCTGCAGCATCTATTGCTTGACCTATCATGCCCATAAAAATTGTTTACTGACAGCATAAATGATAAGTGAGACCTAAAATAAATAGACACTTTTGCTAAAATATGAGATTTATTTTGTCAACATATATGACTTTTTTTATTTTATAAAATCTAATAACCAATAATTTTTTTTAAAAGGCCTAGAGTCTGAATTTTAGTAACCTTCCTTTTGGGTCCAACCTGATTGCTAGAGCAAACTAGTATAAACAAATTTAGTGATGAATGTAGAGAGACACTTTTGTTGCAAGTGTTTTATTTATGCCCCAAAAGAGGACTTGCATTGTCATCACATGTTTCTTTGAGTCAATGTTGTATATCATTAATGAGTTTGTTATGCAATCATGGATTGGATCTTACTCTACAAGGAGGAGTAGCTTGTTCAAAATTTATTAGCATGTTTCACAATAAATGGTAAAGTAAGTTCATTAGACTACAGTGCCAGAAAAACTAGGTCTCAGGATCCAACTCAAAGAACAAAGGGTATGTAAGATTATTTTGCCTAGATACATACTATATATATAATACAAGAACAAATAGTGACACTGGAAAATGAATGTGGAATGATGAACATTACCTTCAAAACTGTACAAAGATAACAAATTCAAAAAAAATAATTGTCAAGTCTGCTAGATATTGAACAATTACAAGTACTAAAGTATAGTCTAGAAGACCTAAATCCTTTCAAGCAATATGCATATTAATACTTGCATTCCACTTTAATTAAAGTATGAAAGCAAATGATGGATGAATTTTGGAAACAAAGTAAAACCACTAGAAAGTAGATATTAATTTTTGAATATCAAGTGTACCAACACATACTCATTTGCTTAGACAGTCATTACCTCTAAAAACTGAATAATTTCGTGCAGATGGCCTTAGAAGGTCAAGATGCTTATCAAATGCTGATGTTGCCAATTCCACACCATTTCTCAAATCAACAGTCTCTTCCATACCGCAACCTGTAGTCAAACCAAATCACATTTCATGTGAGTTGCATTGTTTCTTTGTTGAGTTCCAAATGTCTTATATAAGTCATGAATGCAGTAACATTGTCAAAGTGGAAAATCATGCATATGAATCTGCCAAGACAAAATTAACAAATCTTGTTTCCATGAAAAACCATTCTGTCCCTGATAATTTAATTTATGTTGGTCCATGGATATTTTAGTTCTGTGACAGAATAATCTTCCTTGCAAATTTCTTATATAAAGGATTAATGTCTATAAGTTGGCTACCATAAGTCCATGTCATGAAACTTTTACTTTTATTTTAACAAATCAACAATAATAGTAGTAATTTTATCCTAATAAAAAATGTTAACGACACACTCTCTAACACCTTTTTACTAATACTTCTTTTATTATTAGTTGAAAATCACAAATTTTGATAAATTTTATCGCTAAATAAGGATAAAGACTTATTATATGATTTGTGGAACCAACAAAATTTATGCTTTCCAATGAATTTTTAGTCAATAATAAAGAGAATATTATGAAAAGAATATTAGAGAGAGTGTAACTAGTATTCTCATATCTTAATTGCAGCATTAGATTAAATAACATGACCTAATTTCTCAAATTATCCAAACAAGGGAAAAGTACATGTAAGGCTTGAAAGAATTTCTACAATATCATTCAAATCTCAAATATCTCTAGCCTATCAAGCTGGTGCCTGTATATTATTTAATTTACATTGTTTGAATAAAATCTCACACTGGCTTATATGAGAATTGAGAAGGATCAACACTGAATCAGAATAGTCAATACATAATACCACATTCTGCACATTGGAAAGGCAAGATAAATAAAATAACCAAGTGCCATAATGCTGTTTACTTATTACAATCTAATATGCTTATCAATTCCTTTTTGCGGAATTAGTTTTTTAATAAGATTAATAAGAAAATGTTTTGGCATTTTAGTACCTTTATCCATGTTTTGTAGAGATACTTTACAGATTCAGCCCTTCAACATTTAAGTTTCCTGTTTCACAGAATTTAAGGACACTTTAGATAAAATAGTTATTTGTGAGACCACCATGTTTCACTTCAAAGGTAAATTTATAAAAGATAAGAATCCATAGCAATTGCAGGATATGGTATGACAGTTTTGAAGACTTTGAATCTTAGCCAATATTTAGAATGTATGATTTAAAGAACTCAAGGGACTGTGCAGCTATTCCAAACACCGACCCAAGGCTACCATACTTCGGTGGAAAATATCTGAATTTTTTTTTCTTACAAGAGACAATACATAAATATCATCAAAGCAGTACCAAAACTCTCAAGTACATATATTTTTCAACATTATGACTTCTAAGAATAGGGGAATTAGTATTCTACATGGCATTCAGAGTCCTTCAGGATTGCAATATGTTACTAAGAACCTTAAAATATTTGTTCAAGGTTCCCTTAGAGGAAAGAGGCTTTGAATTACAAGGTTTAACATTTTTGACTTGTGTGAACAAAACATTTGAACCAACAAAACTATTACCCGTCTATAACCTCAACCATGAAAAATTAAGAAACTGATCATGCACTGTACTGCAACTGGTATCCATAACAGAAACAAAGTTAGAAAGCATCTACTTAAAGCTATCCAGAACATGATAAAATAGTAATGATAACGATGATGATGGTCATGATGAAAAGAAGAAAAAAAAAGGATTTTTTAAAGATGGCAACGAAACATCAAAATTCAAAATGAACAAAAATTTTAAGAAGGAATTCCCAGAAGGCTAAACAAAAGGCAAAACCAGAATTAAACAAACAACAAAAACAAGAGAAATCCAAAGAAACACTTGCCTTGAAAAAGCAACCAGAAGTTCCACTGATCAGAAGGGGGAAAGGAACATAAAATAATTTTGGAAAAGAGAACTACTTTATATTGAAGAGGTGTTCTTCAAACATGATAAGCAATTGCTGTTACCCCATTTTCCTCTTGTATTATAAGCGCATCTCAACACAATAAAAGTTAAGACATCTCCAAGCAGAAGAAAATTGACGATGTCTTTGTCTTCTTAAATCACAAAAGCCTTAATTTAATACATCAATTTGAACAATAAATAACATTTTTCTATTTCTTCCTTTTGGTGTGATGTAAAATGTCTTTGTCACATAGTCAATTGTGCAATTCTTAAATAACAAATGACAGTTGATTTACGCAGCCTCCTTGCCTTGGCTTGGTTCCACAATTTTGTGCTTAATTTCCTAACTATAATTTGTTATCAAATAAGAATCATTGCAACCAAATTGTAATTGACTATTAATTAAGAATAAAGCCCTTTTGTTTGACTCTGCAGTTTTATTTTTCGTAAGTGTGTTTGTTTGGTCAATGGTTAGCCCTGGCTAGTGCTCGGTGGTGGTGAAATCATTTTTCCACCCGAGATTAATGGACTTTTTGACCATTCGGACAGTTTTGAAAATAAATTACTAGTGTAGTTTTTTTAAACAAAATTTTCATGTTCAGTTAGTCAATGGAAATGTCTCAACTTAGTGGTGTTTAATTTTTTTTAGAATTTATTTTAAAATATTAATGTTAACGTATCACATCACATAACATCAATGTAAAAATATATTAAAATATATATTTAAAAGGTATAGTTGTAACTCATAGTAATACCCTTAATTTTTCTTTCTTTTTTAATAATGTAATGACTTCTATATCGACACCACGTGACATCTTGTAATTAATTTTTGGGCAAAAATTTCAAAACAAAAAAAATAAATTAATACGAAACAAGGTGTTGTTAAGTTGATTAGTGATGTCCTTCGTTGACCACCCTAAAAATAAAAATTGTTTCAAATCAATCTTATTTTATAATAAATTTTAAAAACTACTCTACAAATGACAAAAAGATGAGTTCAATGGTTTAGCATAAAATATTTGTACTTATTATTAAGATTAACAAATATATATATATATAGATCGGA